CCCCGCACACTGGAACGGATTATTATTATTTTTACTATTACTATTATAGCTATTATTTTTATAATTTTTTTTTTTTTTAAACACCGCCCGCATTTTAAATATACATTACGTTGCAGTATAACACACTTTGAGTCGGGAGGTGTCGCCTGACGGACTCAATTTATAACTTTACGGATTTCTTTCTCTTTTTCTCTCTATCTCCAATCTCCGGATGTAAATAAATGTTAAAATGTATAAATTCTATCCGTAATTACACTAAAACGAAGGAAACGCTTATAATAAAATTACCTATGTTATAATGGCAGACTGGAAGCTGTAGGTAATGATCTATACTGATTTGATAAATTCCATAAATTAACAACTATTACTTTCATTAATGAATGATTATTCTGGTGTCACTACATAATCGCTGGAAAAAGTATAAACAACGTATAAATGAATAAGAAATTATAGAACTTTAATAGGTACCTACTATATAAAACAAAAAGTATAAGAACGCTAAACACATATAAAATTAATAAATTGTGTTAAATATTTCAAAAAATGGGGAGAACAGCATTGGCAGTCACAAACAAATGCATTTCAAAATGTTAAGCTTTCAATTAATTATAAGACTATATATTTTAGTATAAGCTCAATTATTATAAATTATAGAGTAAATTAAAATTAACTTTAATTCTTTAGAAATCAAAAAATCATCTAAGAACAAATATTAGAAGAAACAGCCATATTTTATTCAAATATAAGACAATATTACATTTAATCATTACAATAATAAAATTATAATTTACCAAGACTTAATTGCAATAAACAAATAAAATACCTACGTATCTACATGTATATATTTTTGCTCTGTCTAAATATGTTATAATTATAATTTATAATAATCATAATAGATCTTAGTTTGGAAAAACAAAAATAGTTTACAATAGGTACCTACATTTGAGATGAAGTCACAATAAGTCAATAATTATCATATTATATTAAGTATACCTAACTATAATATTTATTAAAATTCGATTGTCGAATTTATGACTAACGGTAATGTGAGTGGAGGGGCGAGGATCGAGTGAAATTGAGCGAATAAAATATGTGAACAATACCTACCTAAACTAAAATTGACAAAATTGTCTTGTCTCACTGACAAAATAATTTGCACCGTCACTATATACTATAAATTACAATTAGCTATAAATTAAGTTATAGGTTAACCTAAGTACTGGCCATATAAATGTATTAATTTTTCTTCAATAGACGGATATTGATAATTCACTTTTAAACATACAGATTATAATATTATAATATACTCACCTAATTTTTTAGTTTTTGTAATATATTTTTTGTAGTGGATTACAGGCTTTTATCTGTTTTATTATTGCATAAATAAAAATCAAAAATGTTTAAACCATACCATAATTTTACCTACCTAAACATGCTTACCACCCTAATGTGAATTGACATTTATGCGTAGACACCCGATGAATCCAAGTTATTAATGTATACTACCCAACTAGCTTGTGATTGTAAACAGAACGCAGATATGTGCTAATCAAAAATGTGAACGATGTAATATATTTATAATTTAATTTTGTTAGATACATATATCTAAGTATGGAAATTTTGATTCCAAATGTTTGACACCTGCAACGGCACAATATACTATTTATTTGTTATTCATACAGCGTATACTGCTGGTAGGGTATCTACGTGATAAACCAGTAAGTATAAAAACTATAAATTTTATAGTTTTATCTTTACAGTATAAATCATAGATGAGTGAAATACATGCGCATCTGCACAAAACCAAATAAAGCCATAAAAACACGCTTTATGTTAATTTAAGGATTGTAGACGTCATATATACTCGTATAATACAATACACCTAGATGTCATGATAAATGATAATACCTATATAGACGTCTCCTTCGTACGCTATTTTGAAAAACATCGATTTTAGGATAGTTGAACGTAATAAACGTGCAGCAGTGAGTTTGACCTAAAAATAAGAGATCAGGCAGAAACATTAACAATGACTAATAGAATTTCATGTATACAATAATCTAACTCATTAAAACCAATAAGTAAATATTTATGTTTGTAGTTTTTTTTAGATAATAATGAATCAATAAATATTATTATAATTGAATATTTTTCAAGGTATTTTTAATTTTAAATTTTATGACAAAAATATTTTTTGTCATTATTTTTCTTCAATTTTTTACATTATTATTTCTTGAAAATTGAAATACACAGTTTATAAGTATCAATTTACCTAATTTTTCATTTGACTCCAATAGTTCAAGTTCATTACCTACCTACTTTATAACTATTTATTAATTTATGTAATACTAATACATTTAATTTAAAGTTTTTTAAATTTATATTTCAAACTAATATAACTAACTTCTACTCTAACTTAAGATAGTATTTTCACCAAACTAACTTCTAACCAAGTTAGAAATTTGGTAAATTTCAGAAACCAACTTCTATTCTAACTTAGTTTCTATATTAAAGTAAATTAACTTTAACTATTTGAAAAAAATTACTAACTTGCCCAACTTTGCAGGAATCTACTTAATAACAATATTAATTATAGACAAGATTATCATTCTAGTGTTTTAAAAACAAATAATTTGTTTGTTTTTATTCTTATTATAAAATGACATTTATTTCTGTCTACTTTGACAAAATTTAACTTAAAAATGTTAGCAGTTTAACATTAAGTATAAACTACCCTAAAAACTCAAGAGTTGTATCTTAAGTTTAATAATAAAGACTTAAACATTAAATATAAATAATTATAAAATTAACTGTATTTTAAATTTTAATAGGAATATATGAAAATAAAATTATTGTAATCATATCATTTAAAAATATATAATTTTACTTCCAATCTAAAAAAAAAACAATTTTTAACAATGTAACATAATATTACTATTTACAACTATTAATTAAGATAAAAATTTGGAGTGGAGTTTCCAAGAAATATAAAAAAAATAAACAAGTTAAGTTACCAAAACTGTCTTGGAATTCCAAATAAATTGTATCTAAATATTCAAAAATTTTATACTGAAATAAGTATCAAATAATTTACCAAAATATAAATCTCTTTTAACTAGATATTAGATATAATAAAAATTAAAAAAAATAAATAAATAAAACTTTTAACTAAAAAAAAAATGTGGATTTTTAACATGTCATTATTTATTTTTATTATTATTATTATTATTATTAAAAAAAATTAATTTATGTAAAGTTAACTGGATTTTATGATGCTTTTCTTTGACATTCTTTGCTATACGACATAAACTAGAAAAAATATAGATTAAAAAAAGAACATGTAGTAAAAAATCAAAAGGTATTAATATTATCAAACTATAGACATGAGATGTAACTATAGTTACGTCGTATTATGATTTTTAAAAGGTAAACATATATAAAAATAAGCAATGCATACTTTGAATTTATAAACATAAACATATCTATAAATTATACTTCAAATTAAATATTCATATTAAATATAAAATTACAAAATTAAACTAGACTAAATTATTAATAGTTTTTAATTGCAACCTTTTATTTAAAAAATGTATGTTAAATAAAATAATATGTACTATAAAAATTGCTATCTACATGTTATGTATCATAAAGTTTAAAAATTGTACAATAGTTTCTTACTAACATGAAAAAATAAATAAAGTTTGATAAAACTTTTTCAAATGGTTCTAAATCACTCAACTCACATCACTTCTTCAAATCATGTAATTCCAAACTTTATTTCTGAAGAACACTCTTGACAAGTTATTATTTGTCATAATTTGGATGAAAATATCATGCAAATGTAAAACCATTAAATAATAAGATTTGTGAACCATATAACACAATTAATAATTTCTTATAAATTAAACACATACACTAGGATCGATTAAAAACTTTAAAAAATTGTAAGACATACAATAGCTAATTTTAAATCTTAAAATAAATATACATAATTCTTTAAAAATAAAACAAATGAAAAAATGTCCCATTACCTTTTTTTAAGCGTCATGCAATATGTTTGGCTATAGATCTAATTATTCATGTTCATATAAAAATATTTTTAAAATAATATTATGATGAACAGACATTTTTAAAAATGATAATATAATAAAGCGGTTTTTATGTTTTTGAAATACTAAAAATATACAAACCCATAATAAAAAAAGACTTTTACACTTTTTCAAAGCATTGACATTCTTCCCAGTTTTCAATCAAATAACTTTTATCTTTATATAAATATTTACAATAAATGTCACGTTTAACAAAAATAAGATAAGCTATATGAGAAAAAAAGTTAAGATAACTTGAGTGTAGAATAATATGTAATAAAACTTCCTAATAATTACCTTTTAACAAAATATTTTTGAGAATCAAACAAAATTAATTTAAGAATCATTATAACCAATTCTAGAACTATATTCATTATATGTATAATCAACCTTAAATGTTTATTATAATGAAACATACCAATGATAACTTGTAGTTATTTATATTTTAAATTCTTTGGTCAATAACGTATTTAAAAAATATTTCAACTGGAAAACGTCCTTAAACTAAAATGGCAATAGCAATTTGTGTTAAACAGAAACATACAAATAAAACATACCCATATAAACTCTAAAACTAAGAAACAGTTTTTATTAATACCTTAATTAATCAATACATGGCTTATTAAATTACTATTATTTGTACTTGATTAAATGTTAGAGGTACAATACTTTAATTGCTTGTTATAAAAATATGCAGCTTTATTTATTTTAACTGTAATTAAGTAAAATATTTTTAAATTATAATTGATTTACATGAGCTTAGTAAAGATAACATGACGACAAAGTAAACAAGTTATTACAGTAGCTAAAAAAAAATCACTACTTTTTAATTATTAGACAATAGATAAACTATAATAAAGTACATATTATATGAATATTAATTTAAATTAATAGTAAAGTAAAAATATTTGATCATACATCCAAATATTCATTCCACATGGGTTTAAAATTAAACATTTTTAATACTTTTCAGTATTTCTCATCTTATATTATAACAATTTTTGTATTATTATAAAGTAATAAGAATGTAGTTAATAATTCATAATATTATACCTGTACCATTAATGAATCAGCTAAGATTTGTAAATCTTGTTCAGCTTTTACAAGCTAAAAAACATAAGAAATAATTTTAACCAACAATATTATTAATAAATAGTCTAAATTAATTTAAACTAACCTTATGGATATGTTCTAATTTTGATTCTAAATTATCAGTATGAATCAAATTTTGTTTTTCAGTTAGTTCAAGAAACTCTTGTGGGGTCATTTTAATTGAGCCTTCATTATTTAATGGAGTTATCTTTTTGTTATTAGAGATCTCTATACATTGATCAACTTCTTTTTTTATTGATATTAAGTCCATAAACTCTGTGTTTGAATCTAATTGTTGTTCCTAGGAATAGAATAATATATTTAATGAATATGTATTTATTTTTTATTAATGTTTGAATTTTATCAATAATTGTTATTATTTATTAGCAATTTACAACATACTTAATATATAATATATATTTTGATTATTTACACATTTATATTTTATTTTTATTACCTACCTTACAGTTTGAGAAAGATTTAAAATCACTATTTTCATCATGTATTACTGGATTATTAATGAGCTTGATTAACTGGTCTGAAATTTCATCAATACTCTCACTGTTTTCGTTTAATACCCTTTCAATTTTCAACTTTGACATAAGTTCTGGAGGAAGATAATTTTTATTTTCAGCAGACTAAAAATACATAACAAATAAAACAGATAAATAAGATTAAATGAATATTAAAATAATATAATCTAATATTATCATATGCAAATTCCAAAAACATTGTGTTTAGTAAAATACAATAAAATATGTATCTACATAAGCATTTAGTATTTATATATGTACAAGTAATGTATCTAAACATTTCATTTTTATTTTAAATTAAATAACATTATTTCTTTTTTAGTTTTTTGACCAGACAAGCATTGTTGACCCCACAACACACATGTTATTAGAATGTTTAATATAAAATAAATTGAATAATAGTGTAAATTATGTTTTACCAATTAACACATTTTACGTGATAGGCTGTTCTACACTTTAAACAATAATACTAATGAGTAATGATAAATTCATATTAGCTTACTCGAAAATAATTACTCTTTTCGTAAAAATCATTCATTAGTTCTTCATATCTTGGATATTGAGTGGTGATTGTTGTAGTTGGTATCAAAGATTCAATAATTATTTTCCATGTAGCTATGTGTAACTTTGTTGACATATTACCCTAAGAATAAAAATATATTTTGATTTAATAGAAAATTAGTGTTAAAAAAATTAATTAATTAATAGATATCCCAAATAAAATTCCCAAATTGCTATTAATTCAATTTTTTTATAAAAAATTATAATGCCCTAAAAAAATAATTAATTTATTAAATAACTTTACTTACTTCTAAAAAAAATTGCGCCGTTTTTTTAGTCAACAAACCAAAGGACACAAGTATGTATTCTAAATCTAAAAGAAATTATATATTATATTAGTAACAATGTATACCTTTAACTTGCTTATTATTTAATTATTACCATATGTTTTTGAGTATTCAGACTCAGGATCAATATCCAACAACAATTTATATACCAAAACCTTTATAAATTCATCTCTGCTGGGTCCATTCTGGAATAACAATAATTGAAGATTTTCATCATCAATATCAACTAAGTACATTAAGTCGACCTTGGTGAAACGATTTCGTACCCATTCCAAAAAAGCCTTCATAACGTAGTACTGTGATGTACAGATGATGAACTGGAAAATAATAAAAATTATATTCATATACATAATTAATTAATTTACCACTATCCTAAACATTAGCAAGAGAATAAATAGACACAAACAACACCTACAGGCTTAAAATAGTCTTCTTCAATATTGAGGAACAAACAACGATTTAATTAAAACATTGACTATGATGTTTGTAGATTATTTTAGATGAAAATATTCTACAAAAGTGTTATTTAATTTAGAAATTAAACATTTATTAAACGTATTACTTACTTATTCAATAGATTATTGCAAAATATGAAACATAAGGTTAAAATTGGAATAAAAAATTATGTATACGACTGATTTATTACCATAAGTTTAAATAATAAAATTATTTGTTGATATAATATGTAAGTAATATTAATTATTGGCACGAAGAACGAAGATTTTCAAACAACAATCATCGCTCATCAACGTAAAAATATTATCAATTAATAGTGATACGTTAATCTTAATATACAATTTAATAAATAAAATAAACAAACAGCCTGTTGCTGATAAGAAGACAACCACTCATGAGCGGCAAAACCGCCATGTACCTACATTATTATATTCTGTGCTATATATTTTAAATGTAGATCAATTTTATCTTAAAACGTTGTCCAAATAATAAGTCTCGAAATTTCTCTTCTAAGATCATGGTCTAAATTATTCTATTCAGTGCATTAAACATTCTTAACATAGGAATGCACTTTTATGTGCATCATTTTTTCTACTATCATTACGTTGGCCTTGGCTGTTATCAAAATTTAAATAATAATAAAATTATCAAACCAACAATAAAACTATTCAAGATAGAAGCATTTTTCTTGTAATTAAACTTCTTTCTCTCGAAATTTAAAATGAATATTCTCCAATGTTTTAATATAAACACATTAATGTAAGTACATACATATTCAATTTAAGTATATAAATATTGTATATAATTTAATAATAACTAATAAACAACAAGTAACTAAAGTTTTAAAATAATTCACAGTTATTATTTAATTGTAATTTATTATTATAAGTTATAACATTTAAAAATATAATTCATAAATTATGACCAAGTATATTAAATTGATAGAAAATCTATGATAAAGAGTCTTACTAAATAATTTCAATTAAAGCGATATAATTAAATACGCCAATTGTAAAATTTAATATATTAACAGCGAAATTATTGTTCTATATTAACTATTGTAATTTATACCAATTCAATGTGTAATAGAAGAAAATTAAAAAAAGACCAATAATACCCACCTCTGGATCTGCCACCAGTTTACGCAATTTAAATTTAAGTATACCCGGATTACGAAATAAATTCAGCTAAAAATAAGTTATAAGTGTTATAAGTTATAACCATAACGCTCTACAGTACACTTGACTGACCACAAATAAAAATATATTATTATTAGATTATAGATAGGTTTTAGGTCTATATTGTATGACTTATATATTGAGCCATATCGAATGTTACAATTCTGTGACCAAACGAAGCCAGCCGAATACGACTTGCTTTAAGTGTGTGTCTATAGAGTATATAATGGGTACCTTTATAATAATTATAATACTATATTACGAATAATACAGTCGCACGCATAGAAATAATATAACATGCGAAACTACACACGCGAACATATATGAAATGATATACCTACCTATTTAGATACATTATATATTTAAATTTACAGAGTGAATCAAAATTTATGTTACAACCAATTAATCATATTATTATTAGAAAAAGAAAGAAAAATGCAATTTCTAAAAATTTTGCTTGAAAACATAGATTTTTGCATCAACTAATGTTATTTAATCACTAAAATGTATTGAGAAAATAATTTCGCATTATGTTTGCAAAAGATTATAGTATTATAGTATCCCATTTGAATTTTTAAAATTGATCCCCAATTCACACCTCTTTAAGATAAAAATAAAAAAATATTAAACTTACCAATAATTTTAAATGTTTTCTAAGTAAAAAAAACTTTCTTTAAACTTTCATACATTTTTCTTTATTTTGGATATTTTTACGATAAAATGACTGTAACATAAATTCACTGTGTATACGAATGTGTATATTATATATTATATTATACAATTAGGTACATAATATTACAAATACAGTGGAAAACCCACAATTGAAGTAGACCAAGGTTTCCGGGTCGAGCGCTTCGTACAGCGCGAGACACTTGGGTAGTCGGCTGCACGTCTATTATAGACAATAATTTATTGATAATGTTACAATGGTTACATGCTAAATATTACGCGGGCCATAATAATAATCGTTACGCGAAAAACACACAAAAAAAAAAATACTTATAAATCGGAACAATTGTCGATGTATTTTAAATTTGTTTCTTTCAGTGTGGAAAGGCAGCGCTAACACAAAAATCGCAAACCAATTTTTGTTATATATTAGATTCCGCTCACAATAAAATATTAAAAAATTTGAAAATCAACAAAAGTGTTTATTCTACACGTTATTATTCATCGATTCTTCTTATTATTTATTTTAAACACGAGTAAATATTTAAAAAACTTAATGTTTAATATTTAATGTATTACTATTATAATAACTATACATAATTTAGTTGAAAATTCGTACAAAATCACCGAAAAATGGAATTTCTCAAATTTCCTATACAACATATCAAGTAAACGAATTGTGTATGTTTCTACAAAAATAAAAAATCCTCTTTACATTAAAATTTCCAGTGACGTCGATCCTTATTATGCTTAGATTCTTTAAGTGATAGAACCTTTAGGTCTCATAAAGTCATAAATAATATCAAAATTAGAAAATTGTCTTATGCTGTAAGTACAAACAATTAATAATCAAACACAAAAAGGGTACTGTTCTTCTCTACAATAGGTTTCGAGTGAATCATTGTATACGAAAAACGATTTAGAGTGAAGACAATCTTCTAGTTTAAACCAAATCTAATCTAATTTATTTTCGCTGAAAAAACCGGGGTGAAATTTAGAAGGAATTTTCGCCATAGTACACAACTATTATGCTGCTATACTGTCACTTAAATTAACCCTAACCTATACACCTTCATCAAGCGTGTGAAGTTAGTAGTATGGTTTCAAAAGTACGGTGTTCGTAAAAAATAACAGTATACTTCCTCCATTCGCTAAGTCCATTCACTAGTCATCTGTTATTTATACAAGAAGTATTTTGTGATGTAATCATCGCTTAATGTGATTGATGGAATAGAGTGTTAGTTTAATCTGAATACGTGCATATTAAGCACATGATGACGAATATAATTTACTGTTAGAAGACTATAAAAGGAAAAAAATGAGAATATTATTTAAAATACATTATACTTAACATTTATTACAACAAATTTAGTTTTTGTTTTCAAATACTTACAGTTTTATGTGCAATCATTTTTATAGTATTTTGTAATTAAAATGCGATTTGTAGAATGTATTTTCAGTCGTATACTTTTATACGAATCGCATTATGCTTAATATATAATGAAAATAATTTGATATCCGTATAAATGTATTATATTAGCTATAAATTTATATGTAAAATATCTCAAAATCAAAGTTAATTACGTAACGGTCCGTCTACGCAATTATTAGTTCACGATAAATCACTTATAATGTATATGGATTGATAAAATAATATTATGTAAACCATTTGCTTACAATTCTTCTTCTTCGAAAAATAAATAAAAACTGCGTTTGAATAACTTAGAAATTTAGAACATCTATTATTGAGCAGGGTCCTTTGTTATGAATTATGATACTGAACGCTAATCTAACCTATCTTTGCCATACAATAAAATTAAAGTAAATTTATGTCCGAAATATCTATACATATATTCCTTATAAAGCAAGCAGTTTTAGCGTCATGGATATTTATGATTATATTTACATGATGAATTTGACACATTAAATATTTAAATTGTATTCAATGTTTTTAAGAAAAAAAATCTAATTAATTATTTTATAAACCTGATTTTTCAGTAATTTGACTGTATACTTAGTCCTAAAAACGATACAAATATGTGTACTCGGATGTCGCAGGTTAGGTTAGGTAAAACAAATATGATTTGATTAGAAAAAGTTCTCAAGGTCACTTTTAAACCACAGTCACACAATAATATACAAATATTATCACCACCAATACCCAGTATTCAGGGATGGATAAAAAGCTATATTACAGTTATTATATTCCAAGAATTTATCGCTTGATGGCGAGTTGTTATGGAGAGATTTCCCCTCCGGAATCACTTATTGTTTATTGAACACTAAATTTACTAATTGTCACCATAAAAATATTTAGTAAGGACAAAACAATCCTAATCAATTCTGCAGTCGTTTACCCTTTACCCAATTTATGAATCCGGCAACAAGATTCTACGCTATCGTCACTGTTGCATAAAACCTATTCGAGATTATTGCACAACAAATAATATTGGTTACACAGATAACCGTGTGTGTTAAACACAAGTCATGTCATATCGTATCTATTTATATTTTATGTCCTACGCCTTAACCTGTATCGGTGCAGGTGGCATTGGAAATTATTTATTATGTATACATTGGTTAGGAACGTGAATATAGTCTATATATGACTATATAATAATAAATAATAGTATATATATATATATATCTACTACATGTATATAGTTTATTCAATATTGTAATGATATGATATGATTGTGGACCGTGTGACGAATTGACCGGCTGTACAATATTATAATAATAATTCAGATATCGCGTCCTCCGAAGGTCGCCATCGATACGAACCGTAGCGCCGACATCGACTCCTTATAACGCCCGCGTGCGTTTTTTGCCGCCACAAACTCCATTAGTTCCCTCTTATTATATTCGCTTTCTTCTCGGCATGGGCCGACGTGCTCGCAATGTGAGAAAATCTGTACGGTTTCCAAACGCCCATACACATTATGATATGATAGCAGCGGTGAACATATTGCGATAAAAAATATACATATAATGCTATAATACAACTCGCCCTTGTAACACATTTGGGACGACCAACGACCCCGAAGGGTCCGGAGTGCGACGACTTCGCGGGAAAGACTAAGACTACATAATTATACATAATATGCTATACAATGTATAAGTATACATATAGTATACATTGGTAGGTTTGTCATTATTTCGACACGCTGCGGTCGACAATAACAATCGATACAAATTGATAATAAATACGCTTTTTTCCGATGTGTGTACAAATTTAATCTTAATAAAACTAAAACCACAAAAAAATGTGTACTATATTTTTAAAATCAACAATTTATTTTATTTATTTTAGCTCCGTCTAGATGTGTGTTAAGAAAGTCACATTTAATATTAGATACCATAATATCTATATAGTTATTATTTATAAATAATTCTTGTTTTCTTAAAACAGTTTCATAAAATTTTAAAACTGGGAATAATATTAGTGAACAAAA